GGATGGCTATGAAGTCAGGATCGTTGAACAGCGCCTTCCTTGCGGACAGTACATCGCTCTCATGCTCCAGCTCCACCTGTTTAGGGTTTAGGGTTTAGGGTTTGGGTTCAGGGTTTAGGGTTAGGGCTTAGGGCTCAGGGGTTTAGGGTTTAGGGCTTGGTTTTAGGGTTTTGGGCTTAGGGTTTAGGGCTCAGGGTTCTCGAAATTAGGGTCCTTTTTATAAGGGTGCCGTAGTATATTGGGGACCCAAAACGGGACCCTGATTTAGAGCACTGCTCATGTAATCATTTAAGTAGCTTGGGCTTGGGGGTTTAATAGAAAAACCATAGCCCGCTCGCACCGCGGACCTTCGTGAAGACGAGCCCTGTAAAACTGAAAGATGTGATATATGGGTAGTTCTCTAAATTAGGGTCCCTTTTAAGAGTCCCCAATATAGTACGGCACCCTTATAAACGGGACCCTAAAAAGGGACCCTAATATAGAGAACTACCCAAAGGGGTACTTCTCTAAATTGGGGTCCTGTCTTACAGTTTTAAGTCCCAAAGATAGTGCAGCACCTTCATAAGAGAACTACCCATGTAGGGCTTTTGGGCTTTGTGGGCAGAGGGTCTAGTGGTTTAGGGCTGAGTGTTAGGTTTCGATTGTGGTACAGTAGTTCCGGCTCTAGTATTTAGAAGGGCTTTGTGACTGCCTTATGGGGGCTTTATTGGCTGAGGGTTTAGGGTTTCAGGTTTCGGCTTGGTTTTGCAGGGGTCTCATGAGGGGCCTTTCAACGTAATGTAGGGTTCTCTTAAGGTTTGAAGGGCTGTGGGGATTCAAGGACTAGGGGTTTCGAGTTTCCTGGATGAGCGTTTGCCGTGGGTCTAGGGTATTGGTTTCGCAAAGATTTTATGATGAAGCTTTGTTGAGTCTTTCGTAGGGTTCGAGGTCCCAGCATCCCTTCGCTTGGGATCAAACCTATTTTGGGATCCTCGTAGTAAGGATCCTACTATTTAGGACACTGTATTAGGCTCCGCTATTTTCGGAAACCCCCCATACGTGGAGGTTCATGGGCAGCTATAAGTGGAGTTATAAGCCCCCTAATATAGGTTATGACTATAGTTACCCTACTTATAATCATACTTATACCTACCCATGAACCTCCAAGTATCGTTGAGCTTTCTGCCTACGCGCGTAGGAGCACCGATGAAAGGGACCAACCCCTGCTAAACGAGGTTGCCGGACCTTCTAATATCCCTTCATTAAGGAATATGCTGTAAATTGAAGTAGGAGCCCTGAAATGACGTAAGTTACATTCCTTAATCATGGGATTTTGGAAAGTCTGGGTTGCTTGATTGAGCCTCTGTGAATCCTAAGCCGTAAATCGAAACAGCTTAGGGCAAGCCCAGGAGGCATTCAATCTAGCGCGCTCCTCCCAAGACTTTGCCCGCAGACTGGCCGAAATCACCATGCTTTCGTACTGGAGCACATGGCAAGCCTCGAGGGTTCAGGGTTTGAGGTTGCTACGCCTAAGCTCTAAGCAACTTTGGGGATTCGTGGAAATGCGTTCGTCAAAGACAAGAAGACGAACAGCAAGTGGCCAACCTCAAGACAATGCTCGTATACGAAGACATTCTCGGTTGAGGTTTGGAGAGCAGTAATGCGAAGAAAGCTGCTAGTTGCTACAGCCGTCGTCACTGCGGATACCCTAGTCTAACCGTAGCAGATTTACCAGCAGCAGCGACTGCCTCTATGGCCGCGACTAGTCTTCCCGCTGCTTTTATTGCAAGCAGCACAGCAGAAGAACATAACCCTAGACCCCCCACCCCCCCAAAGCAACCCGAAACCCCTGAAGCCTTCAAGCCAAAACCCCAAATCCGAAACCTTAAACCCCTCAACAACCCCCAAACTGTAAGCCTTGAACTACCCTCAGGCTTCATGCCTAACCTTTTGGATTATATAAGGGTTATGTTATGCTACCCCAAAAAGTCAAAGGATACCTACCCTACTACCAAGGACCTACCCTCAACCTCCTGAGTCTGGAATTCAATTCATTGCCTCGTTCACGAAGACTGTGGTGGCCAGCAGCTCACCTTCGGGGCTGAATACCCTTGCCCGGGTTTAGGCTATGGGTTGTAGGGTTTAGGGTTCAGGGTCCCGGATACCTTGGGTACTGCCTGCACTCTGTAACAGTTATATAATCGTTACGATATAGTTGTATATGGCACTTAACATGACCGCTAATATGGACTGCTACAGGGTGGGGGCAGTACCCAAGGAATACCCTAGCCCAACACAGATTAACACTTGAAAGTATGGGTAGTTCTCTAAATTAGGGCCCCTTTTTAGAGAACAACGCATATGGTAGGACTGTATAAAAACCATTAGAATGTTCAAGTTTGCCAGTTTAGATGCTGAGTCGCCATTTTGCAGTAGAAGCACTGCGGCCAGCCAGCAGAAGCCATCAGCGATCAGGAGGGCTGAAGCCTCGCTGATTAAAAGTTCAGGGTTTGGGATTGAGGGTTTAGGGTTTAGGGGTTCAATCTTTCAGGCTTTAGGGTTGGGGTTTTTCTAGTTTAGGGTGCAACCGTTTAGGGTTTAGGGTTGGGGTTTAGGGGTTAGGGGTTCAAAGGTTTAGGGGCTGGTGTGGGCCCAATCAGAATTGGGACTTATATAAGGGGTTCAAGCATTCAGGATTTGGTGTGGCTCCACTTTTTGGATCTTAAAGGGAAAAGAGCCCTCGTGGAGAACAAAGTGAAGAACAAAGACTCCCCACACCGTCAGTATTACTGCGAGCACCGACTAGACCCTCAACACTAAAGACCATCAACTCTAAACGCTAAGCCCTAAGACTCAAAACGCCTGACTACTTGATTCATTCATGGCGAGAGAACTGGTAGTTGTGAAACCCGCGCCCGCAAAAATCAGACGCTGAAACCCTGAAACTTTAACAACTCTCTATACACTCCGTCCTAAAACCCCAACCAAAAACTAGAAACCGTGTGGTAAGACACCAGAAACACAGTTTAAAGGCTCTTCTGTAAAATCCCTGAAGCCCAATTGAAAGGGCCTGAAGCGCCAAGACAGCGGCCACGTCGGAGTGTGGAATCCCCACCTGAGCTGTTGAGTTTTGGGATTTCCGCAGATCTTGGGGTGTAGTGTAGGAACTTTAATAGCAAGATGCCGTTGTGCAGTGAGATAAGGACCAAAGGCGAGTTATTACCAATTGTGCAGACCTTTGTAATCTAGCTTACAGGTGCTTGTGTGATGGCTTGAGGGCTCGGTTAACCCTATACCTAAACCCTAAACCGACTAAGGGCTTCCGGGTTTTGGAGTTTCGGAAGTTCGTCGGAAAAGATTTGGATAAACAAATTTGCTTGCCAAATCCAGAAATTGGAGAGTTCTACAAGGATGGCGTTACATGCTACTTTGAGCGTGGATTACCCAGGAATACCAAGGAAGTGTATCCATAAGGGTTACATTAAGGGTTTTTTCCTTCTTCGCTTTGCCGGGCATCTGCTCCTCGTGAAGGGTATGGTCGGGGCCTTAGCGATTTCAATGGGGTTTGGGAATATGCCATAAGTAGAGGTATACAGGGACCATAAGGGGGACACTATTTCGCGTGGTTTAGACCTCTACAGTATCTTCCGGCACAACAGCACCCCTGAATTAAGGTTTCGGGCTATATGCATTCCGAAACCTGCAAGCCTGAGCTTTTGGAAATCCAAAGCCTCCAAACTTTTCAAACCTTCAACCCCAACGCTTATTGCAAGTGTGACCATCGTTTTAAGGACCAGACACGAGGGATTCCCATGGAAACCATCGGGGATTCGACAACATCTCGGCCGTGAGCTTCCGGTGGGACGGCAAGACCTGACAAGGCGGGGCCCCAAAAACCAAATCCAAAAAACCCAAAAGCGCAACCCTAACCAAGTAGTAGTAATAGCAGTAATGCTAGTCAGGAGAATGATGCTAACAACACTTGCTGAAACCAAGCTGTAGCCCTTATGAGCCGGTTGCCCCGGTGCGTTGTCCTGGATGTCAGGGTGGGAGGCAGCTGGGCAGAACATTCATGCGACCCTATACATGCTTGAATCAGCTTCTTTAGGTTGTGAGTCCAACGGCCCAATGTGTGTGCGAAAAAGCGATGCGCTGCAGACGTGCGTCTCTGCTACGCCGAATCAGGGTGCATCGTATTGCTTGGAGGACTTTGTCAGACCAGCACGCCAATTACAATGCTGCCGTTCAGGACTTGGTCGATGGATGGGCGCTGCAATGGTGAGTAAACTTGAGTAAACCATTGACAGGACATTGGTTGCAAGGGAAGGCTGCCCTGGTGGAGGAAGGTGAGGTAACCTGCAGGTGCGTGTCCTTGGTGTGGTGTCGTGTGCGGGCGCCCTCTGCTCGGAAGCCTTGGTTAACGCCATGGTGAAAGGTGAATCTCTGAATAGAGCGTAACCGGCCCACTGCCGGGGACGGGCAGGGGGCGCTCTCTCTCTCTCCCTCTCTCTCTCTCTCTCTCTCTCTCTCTCATTCTATTTCTCTGTCTCTCTCCCTCCCTCGCCACCCCCCTTTGTGAACCTTCGGTATGACGGCGCAGTTTCAGGATCTTCCTCGCATATTATACAGATTGCCACAAGTTGCCTCCCATCATGATATATACATATATATATATATATATAGACATCCGGCTCACTTGCTGTCAGCCTTGGACAACTGTCGTCGCTTCTTGGGGGGCTTCTCAACCTTGCTCTTATTGGGCTTGGCACGAACAGGCTTCGGCTTGGACTCAGAGATGAACTTCTTCAACATTCGCAGGGTCTCCTCCTTGGCCTCGACCCACAAAGTGGTGCCTCCCAAACCCTCGTAAAGGACACGGAGCGTATGGTCGTTGTACTGCACAGTCAAAATGGGCGGTGCCATAAAATCGTGCTTGGAGGAAGCCCTCACTGCCTTGTGTTTCTTCTTGCCGGCGCTTCGGAATTCAAGCTGCCGCGGTCCTTGTTTGCCCTGAGGTCTAAGACCCTATCTGTCAAGGCTAGGACACACTGTCTGTCCCATTTGGACAAAGCAAGAAACGTGCCGTCGTTCACGTCCTTCTGTTTGGGGACCCAGGTTTTGCAACCTTTCATGTTCACAACCCACTGCTGGGAAAAGTGAAGCTGATCATCACCCTCTGCAGTGGGTTCGAAGGTTGATCACAAATCTATTCCAAGGAGTTAGCACAAAGCAAACAAAGGCTGCGAAAAAAGCGCCAACACGGGCTTGCACATGCTGCGACTCATGACATGTTTCATGCAACAATGCAAGACTCAGAACTCCCGGTCCATGCACCTAGTATAGCGCCATCAGACCTGAGAATTTCGCATAACCGATGAAAGGCTCTGTCAAACTCCTGCAAAAGCGAGTAAAGGCCCTGCAACAGCTCTGATGATCTCTGGCCCGAGGGGCTTTATAGCTCGCCCCCGAGTTCATATCACAATCACATAGCACCCTGCAAATAGCACCCTGCAAGTCAAATTGCAATCATGCGACTTTCTTGCCTTTCACTTCCTGCTTCGGTGCCTTCGCCTGTACACCAGCAGCTCTTGCCCGGCACTCAAAGCGACTGATTTCTTGAGCAACGGGATCCGAATGTCCGTTTGCTTGTTGCCGGATAACACTATCCTCATGCTCGCCTTGCTCTGGTCCTCTACACCAGGAAAAATGGCGACAAGAACCCCACGAGTTCCTCCGGTGCCTCTTCCGTTGCTTTGGGCATGATGTTGGAGGCAGCAATGAAGAAACGGCGATCGTGGTAGCCTTGTTTCAAAGTAACCTCCGCAGCTCCCTGCATGGTCTCGGTGCTGGTTCCACTTTCGTGTTGAACGGCACCAAACTGAGTTTGCCCTTGGGCACAGCCGTCTTCGCCACAAGTCTGGTGGGGCGAAAGCACAACTTCAACGGTGCCATGGTGTCATGCATGTCATGGTTCTGAACGACAGAATGCATTTCGCAACGGATCACGGCCACTGTGTGGGCGACATCGAAATCGGGGTGGACTGACTGTCCATGGGGTCCGAATGGCTGGAGGTCCTCAATCTCCTGAACATCTGCCTTCGGTGTGAAGACCTGCCACTCAACCCGAATGAACGAAACGATGGGGGCCCTCACCGCCTGACCGTCGGCCAGGCTCTTGCGCTTCACACCAGTGTCGATTGCCAAAACCTCGCATTCCATCTTATCCTTGCGGCGGTGAACAAACCAGCCGACCTTGCTCCAAAATCGCCCCTGGGGTCTTCATTGACCCATCCGAGTTGAGCTCAACGAGGCGATCTGTCGACTTGCCAGCACTTTGCGATGCCATTGGGAGTGACTCGGCATGCGCCTTCCACGGGGAATCAATCTGGACACTGAGTATGCCGGCGAGAATCGAGACGGCATCGTGGCAGGTGCACTCCAAAGATTTGTACTTTTTCCATCGGCAACCTGCAAGTTCATGACATGAGCAACTAAGTTGGAGTCCACCACCGCCAAAACATTCACAAGGTTCCGGTCACCTAGATTCCTCTGAGAGCCAGTCAGTGTTCGGAGCTCGGACATGAGCTCGTCCGCCTTAACTGTCTTGCCAACCGTAGAGGCATTGGCGAAGACTCGTTTGCACTCTGGCACTCAAGTGCGTGCCAGTCAAAACGAGCTTGAGCAACCCGTGCCGAAAGAAGGGCAGCTGGTTCTTGCTGCCTGCGACTTCATGACAGATCGCCTCCCAGACCTTCTCGCCGAGAGCTGTCGTGGAGCCCCTGGCTCTCACATACTTCTCGGGTGGGGGGGGGCGGGCAGTTACAGAGTGCAATGCAAAGCTACAGCATGCGTTGCCACAGATGCTCGCGTCTCGGAAGGGATGGACAGCTTGTGAAGAGTGCTGGCGGATGGCAGGCCGAGGGGGGTCTGAAGCTAAGCTGTAGCCTGTGAGAGCCGGGTGCCCCAGTGCGTTGTCCCCTACCCTGCATCCTTCCTTCTGTCAGCGTGGGAGGCCAGGTGGGCGGAATATTCATGCGACTGTATAGTATACATGCTTGAATCAGCTTCTTGAATTACAGTTACAGTATGCGACAATACTAATAAAAATCCTACCAATACTCTACGCTCTGAGAGAAGGGAAGAGGGACGAAGGATGTACAAAAGTATACACTACTAGCAAGAATACAAATAGTACTAAGAAGAAGAAGAAGAATCGAAAACCCTACAGCAAACCCAGCCCTCAAACCCGGTAGGCCCACCACATTACACACTGAAGCCCCCCAACTCCCCAAACAAGCACCCAAATTGAGCGCTTGAAGGCTTGTTTTTGGTAGAACAGGGACTCCTGATCGCGATTTCCTTCTCCAAGTTTTCCAAGTCCTTAAAAATACAGGTTTTGGCTAAAGACGTAAATAAAATGCGCTTAGGCCCAATAAGGGGATATATAGGATGTCTCAAGGGGCCTACCTCAACCTTAAGCCCTAAACCCCTCCACCCTAAACCCTAAACCCCTAAACGCCTCAACCCTAAACTCCTCAACCCTAAACCCCTAAACTCCCCAACCCTAAACCCCTAAACCCCAAAGCCTCTTCCCTAAACTCCAAAACCCCTAAACCCCTCAACCCTGTACCCTAAACCTCTCAACTCCTGCACTCCGAAACCCTCCACCCTATACCCTAAACCCCTAAACCCCTCAACCCTACGGAGTCCCGAACCTCCGGAGGTTCCTCCTCTTTATCGCATCGATAGGCTTCTTTGCTTGCAGCCTGCAGGGGAGGAAGCCACGACTACGACAATATCAGGGTTTAGGGAACTTCGGGTTTAGGGTTTAGGGGTTTAGGGTTTAGGTAGGGCGCTTAGTGTACATCTCAGGGCTTGGGGGCTTAAGGGTTTAGGGGTTAGGTCGGGCTTTTATTGTATATTTCAGGGCCGTTTGAGTCTTTTGAACTGTTTCGCTACATTTTGCTAGTAGCGTTGTGCCCTAAACCCTAAACCCTAGAACCCCTAAACCCCTAAACCCTTAATCCTAAACCCTGAGGCCGTCAGGATTCCGAGAGCCGAGGTGCTTCGGTGAACCCCCCAGGGACTCCAACATCCCTTAATGAAGAATATACCTTAAATCCCTTAAATAAGGAATGTACCTTACATCATGATATTGTTGATGGACAAAATTCTGCATGACCCAAATATAGTATAGTACCATAAAACCCCATAGTTTAGGTATATGAAGTCATGCAGGATTTTGTCCATCAGCCGTAGTAAGGCCCCTAGAATTTAAGGAATATACCTTAAAACCATATTAGGGATCCTACTATAATTTCAGGGTATTATTCCTTCATTAAGGGGTTTTGGAGTCTCTGGGGCCCCCCAAAAACCTCCAGAGGCCGCAACCCGGAAATCGCATTGGGGGTCTTTTTTGAAGTTTAGCGGTTTAGGGTTTAGGGTATATAGCTGGGGTCTCGGGTTTAAGGGTTTTAGAGCTTAGGTGTTTGAGAATTGAAGGTTTGAGGGTAGAGGCTTACAGAAAGTGCTCATAGATGCCTCCATAGCATCCCACTGCTGCCAAGTTGAAGCATCGAAGAGCACTTCGTGCATCGGCAGCTCCATCGCCACGATGGGGAACATCTGAGGCGGTTTGTCTATTCTGGGTTCTTGTTTGGAGCTTGAATCTAAGGTTGGAAGTATGGGCCCTTAACGTGGTCCCTTAGGCCTTTCTAAGGACCCTTAAAGGTACATACAGGGTATATAGTAGGCGTATAAGGATCCCAGGGTTTAGGGCCCATACTGGGGGCCCATGGTTTCAACGTTAGCTTCAACTTACGGAAAGCAGAATACTGTTGATGGACAAAATCCTGCATTACCCATTATAAGGAATATACCATAATTCCCATAGTTTAAGGTCCTTAAGGTCATGCAGGATTTTGTCCATCAACAATATGATGAGGCTCTTTGATTCGGGGTTCGTGTTTTGGAGCTATGAGTCTTCGACTCAAGGAACGCGGAATACCCTAAACCCTAAACCCAAACCTAGAGACCCTAAGCCCTAAACCCCTGAGAACCCTAGGAGCCTTGTTGTGGCAGCTGAAGTTAAGATCCTCAGGGACTCCAATATCCCTTAGTTAAGGAATATACCTTAATTCAAACTAGGATCCTACTATGATTTAAAGTATATATTCCTTAATTAAGGGATATTGGAGTCTCAGGGTCCCTGGGCCCAGTCGTCGCTTTGTGTGAGACTTAGACTTCTGAGGCGTTGCTGACGCAAGAAACGACCGAGGTAGCTATAAGGGTAGTTCTCCAAAGTAGGGTACCCTTGTAGGGTCCTTTTTATAAGGGTGCCGTACTCTTTTGGGGACCTAAAGGGGGACCCTGATTTAGAGAACTACCAATCTCAAAGTAATTTCGGTATGTAGTGGCACTGGTAGTGCTAGTTGTGGTCGCCGTCGTCGTCATCGTCGTCCACCCCTCAGCGGCAAGCACTCGACTTCGAAGCCCCGCAGAGCCGACTAAGCCCTAAACCAACGCAACGCCCTGAAGCCAAAAACCTTAAAGCGAAAGCCAGTGGCCCAAACCCCAACTCTATCTTATCTAAGACCCCCAATACAGCCCTTAGGGCACTCATGGAACCGGTAAATACCCAACGAACCCAAAGCCCCAACTCTATCCGAGACCCCCAATGGAGCCTCGAGGGCAGTTCTAGAATTTTCATACTAATACAATATGAATAATATGTATCTATATATATGCATATATTACTATCAACATGTTGTTTATTAATACCCTTAAACCCAAAGCCCCAACTCTGTCTGAGACCCAATCGGCCTCCAACGGCCTCATCGCCAGCCCAAGTGCTTTCCCTCAGAGGGCTTTTCTCTTATCTTCACGGTTTAGGGTTTAGGGTTTGGGGTTTAGGGTTTAGGGTTTGGGGTTTGGGGTTTAGGGTTTAGGGTTTAGGCTAGGTTTCTGGGCTTTCTATAGGAGTTAGGATTAGGCGGGGCCCCTTGGGGATATAGACCCTCTCAACAAGGTCCCGTTTAAGGGAGCCATAAGTAAGGTTAATCGGGGTCCCCTTTAAGGGATCTCCCAAATACTACCTAGGATTCTAGGGTTTAGAGCGATTAGAATCTTGGGGTCTTAGAGGGATCTGATACCGTGTCGGGTTGAGGATTCTCTAAAAATTTTCAAGGGTTCCTGGCACGCCGGTGGGGGCTTCGGATGTGCGTTCTCGAGATGTTCCAGCTAGGGTTTAGGGTTTTAGGGTTTAGGGTTTAGGGTTTCGGGATTCCACACTTTGCTGTTTTTGGAAGGTTTTGGCGTTTTGACCCTCGGGAAAGGGCGGATGATGCTTGGGCTACCTGGTTCTCAAGTAGTCCCTCAAATCAACCTGTATGTGAAGAGACCTGGAATGAACGACTGCTTGTACGAAACCTTTAATTCATGATCTAATCATGTAGTCTTCAGAAACCCAAATCATATACTCTACCGCCGTGCGTCTGTCTCCGGTGAAGGCCTGTATGTTGGCGGGCTCCGGTAGCCGCGTTATCGAAGCATCTGCGTCGCCTTGGCCACAGCGCAAGAAAGCCGCGAACAGCTTCCGAGTTGACAAAGTCGGGACCATCTCCGTAAAACCCTAAACCCTAAAACGGCCCTAAACCCTAACATAACTTACTTGCACGTACTCCCGGCCCCCTTCCGTCTTGGGGTCATGACCAGGATGATCATCACCATCATGCCCCAGACCATCTTCATCATCTGCACTTTAGTCACCATCATAGTTTGCACGGCGTTTCATCAATCTCCAGATTGTCTTGGATGTGAAAGCACGAAATGCTCCTGCCTCAGCGATGTTGCAAGGCATGAACTTCTAGCCGAGAGTTCTGCCTCTATGAAAGCCTGGGTCCTCTCCGGAGTATGGCCTGTCAGAACTGTGTCCAACTCGACATCGTGGGTGATCAGCGTGGTGCCCACGGCCAGCTGCTGTGTGCCTCGGTAGGAAGCTCGTTGACTGTTGCCGGCTTGTTTGTAACAACCAAGGAAGCCTGGCAGTGCTAAACACTTCGCGGGGAGACAGTTGAGGGTTTCAGGGCGGGAAGTCTCAGCCAGAACCATATGACTAGTTCTCTAAATTAGGGTCTTTTAGGTCCCCCAAATAGTACGGCACCCTTTATAAAATATAAAAGGACCCTAAACGGGACCCTAATTTAGAGAACTACCCGCATTGACTTTAGGGGGCGACGAACTCTTGAACTGCTCACCCGCTTGCTGCAGCGCTGCAAGGAAGTAGAAAGACCAGGCCACAGCCGGAACCCGAAACGCTGAAAAACCCTAAACCCCAAGCCCAAAGGGTTTAAGGTTTAGGGGTTCAGGGTTTAGGGTTTAGGGCTTAGGGTTTAGGGTTTAGGCTAAACCCAGACGAGACACAGACCAGGTAGTCCCAGGCAGTTGCTTCCTCAATCGCTTCTTTGAGCTCGCGACCCCTCCAGCCGGGCTTTGTCTCGATCCGGCAGAGATGTTTGCCCAGGGCGTAAACATCAAGCCATGGCATTCTCCCGGAACCCTAAACCCTGAAATGGGACTTTCCGAAAACAGGGGGTACCTTATTTGGGGGTCCTTCTAATAAGGATCCTAATATTTAGGGTACTATGTTAGGGTCCCCTATTTTAGGAAACCCCCAAATCTGAAACCAGGGTTTAGGGTTTAGGGTTTAGGCCCGCGCCACCCACCCACCCACCCACCCACACACACACACACACACGCACACACTGGGATGGGAATATGAAGTACGGGAAGCACTGGAGAACCTGGCGCGTGGGGACTTAAGGGCTGCCGGTTTGAGGGTTTTAGATCTAAAGATCTCGTGCAGACATCTACTTGAATTTAAGACAGCATGATGTGGGTAGTTGTCAAAACTATGGTCCCTTTTGGGGTACCCTAAAAAATAGGTGCCGTATTATGATAAGGACCCAAAAAGGGACCATAATTTTGACAACCACCCATATGAGATGAGATCATATAAAAGACCATAACTCACAATATCATGTAATATTACAGGCCACACTCAGTGCTCGGGCTGTCTGGCCAAACAGCGTCAGCCGGCGAGTGGAGCTGCGCCTATTTGCCCAAACCTTTCATCCTGATCTCGGCCCTGCAAGGGCGGGGTACCTAGTAACTTACTTGTCCAATATCCTAACAGAACTAAAGGTTTAACCTTTAAGATTACAGAAGAGCAAGAATGTAAATATGATGCAAAAAATGGGTCTGCAAAAACTCAGGCCCCACAGCAACCTGCTCTC